GCCCTTTAAATATCTGTGATATATATGTGAAACATCACTTCTGCTAAAATCAGTGATGATCAAAGGTACTTCTCAACCTGATGATAGTAATCTTCACTATAATAGTACAGAGATACCAGATTGCTAGATAAATGTTACAAGACAGCTCATATCTGAAAGGTAACAAAATAGAAAAGCTGTTTATTACTTGTTTGCTACAACCCCTCTTCCCCACCCCAGTCCCCAGTTTATTCAGCATTTGAAAAAACTGCTTTGGAAATAATAACGTTTCTTGGTGTCAAACAGCTCAGGAATGTGACATAAGTCAGAGGGGAGGAGACATTTCCCTTACCAGGACCTTGATAACCCGATAACAGAAGAAAGGTCTGTTTCAGACCCTATTCAAAGTATTTATTTAATTATTGTATTTCTTTAAGTTTGGACAAGCTGACTTCTAAGATGCATTGACTAATGTTTTTGGAAAGGAAAGGTCTTTTTCTTGCTAAATTACATTTGTTGTGTTGGCATTCACTCAATAAAGAAAGAAAGGTAAAGAGCTGGAACTGCATTAGAAAACAACCTCTAAGGCCAGCTTTCTGGGTTTGCTTTGAACTTACCATTATTTTATGCACCCAATCTCCTCTGTGCTTATATAAGGAAGGTAAGAAACAACATGAGTCAAAGCTGCAATTTTCCTGATTGCAACAGTAGGTTTTCGGGCTCCAAAGCAATTGTGTAAATTAAAATCTCATGTTTCTGTGTGCTATGAATGGAGCTGTTTGAAATGTTCTTAACAAGAAGATCCTGCTTTCACTATCAGAAAGGGGAAGGAAGTTTCAGGATCTCTTGGTCTCCCATTGTTCCACACACTGATCTGTCACTGACAGACCACCAAAGGCTGTGGGTGCAGACTTGTGGACAGACTGAGGTCTCCTTACCTTCTAGGGTAGGGCCTCACTCAAAGCACCTTGAAGACATTGAGAAATTTCCAACAGGCTTTCTTCAGCTCTATCTCCTGCTGGACTGAAGAATAGACAAACCAGTGACACATGAAACAGAGGAGGCAAAGGGCTGGTCATTTTAAGATATACCTCTCTGGTGCACAGCACAGCCCCTAGCCTCCCAAAACATCAGAGGTACATCTGCTCCCCAGAACACTGTGCAGCAAGTTCAGGGTTGCAAATGTAATGAGTCAGAGAAAGAACATCTGGTTGGATCCATAGCTTTTCTAAAAACCCAACCAAGATTTTCCCAGCTACAAGGCCAATTTTGGAAGGTTTTGTTTTTTTTTTTTCCTTTCTCTGTTTGCCCTTCTGCCCAGCTACTACATTCTGTCTCCGCATTTGTGAGGTCAGATTTCCAGACAGATGTTGTATATTGATCTGTCATTGTTATTTCTACAGGGGCGGATAGCCCCTGCATTAGGTGTCCAACGTAAAGAATTACAGTATAATTCCATTAGCAGTTGGAAAGACAAAAGAGATGGTGGGCAGCCTCACAGGGGGGAAACCCAAACTGAGGGTCTATGCTGTGTGTGCAGCTTGTTAAGTGGGCTCCCAGCATTTGGATAACTATGGAGCTATTGACAGCTGAGAGCCAGGAGGTGTGGGGAGCTGCTTGGGGCTGCTCCAGTGGACTTGGGGTTCAGACCAGGTGTCAGGGGCAAGGGGCCAGCAGCTGGGGTTGGGCCGACAGTGAAGGTATGGGCAGGTGGTTGCTGGCCATGCATGTGGTGGGCCAGTGCCCAACTGGGGAGGGAGTGGAGAGGCAGGCAAAGCAACATTGCTGCACTCCGAGGGGGGCTGACCTTGCTCTCTTCTTTCTCTCTGCCTCATCTCTATTAGTTTTCTATAGGTGGCAGAAAGACCATGTTGTCATTAAAAGCACATCTCTTCCCTTTGTGCCTATGCTAGAGAGAGAGGAGTGAGCATCAGGCATGCTGCGATGGGCCGCTCAATGCTTCTGCCTCTCCTGTGATGCCAGCCACTGCCTGCGTTGCTGCTATGGGTGTCACTGTGCCTTGCAGGGACCACCTGCCCTGCCTGGGCACTGACCCACCAACTGTCCTGTCAGCTCCCAGAAGCTGTCCCTGACCCCTCTCATCAACTTGGGAGTTGCTCTCCAGGTGATGGGGATGACTCAGTGAATCATTTGTCTTGTGTATTTGTTTGAGCTGGGGTTATAGTGAGACATGGGTTTCAGATAGCACATTTGTGTGTTCATTGTGTTGAGTTTCTTCCACCGGCCTTTAATCAGTCTCAGCCGGTGCTCAGGCATGATGAGATCTTGGAGATCGGGGACTGAAGAGGGAAGGGAAATATTGCCGAGCTGTTCAGGTGCACATCTGGATTCACTTGTGACTTAGCAAGCTGCAGGTTGCATCCCATAAATCAAACAGCTCCTGATACAGTGAATGTCACCTTCAGGGTTTCCCTTGCTCTGTGCCTAAAATATGTTCCATTCTTAAAGTCGAGATGGGTGAATCCCACTGCGCGATGCTGAAAAGGCTGCCCTGATGAAGTTAGTGCTGGCAGCGTGCATTTTCTGCAGGTACCTCCCAAAGGCAGGCAGCATGGTGAGGCGCTCTGGGCCTGTGCTGGGTAGAACTGGCAGGCCCCAGACCCAGCATCAGGGTGCAAGGCCAGGGTGTAAACAGAGACCCTAAGTACAACACATGTCAATGACTGCGTCTGTTCATCTGAAAGGAAGCAAGAAACAAAGTTTCAAGTGTTTGCAGTTTTTGCCTGATGAGATTAAAGTTGATGGGCAGGAAGGTGGTGTGAGCTTCCCTAGAGAAATGAGCAAGGAACATGCTATCTCATCAGCCCTAGCCAGCAGGCCACAAATCTGTCATGCGGGAGTGTCTACAGTGGCATGTTCCACATACGGGTGCAGACACCTCTGTGTGGACTCTGTCCTTGCCCCCACAGCAGGGCCACTTACCATGTCCATGTTGTCACATTTTTGATATACAGGTCCTAATTTGCAAAGAATCCTGTACCATCCAGTGGAAGGGAATGGTGCAGCCTCAAGCACAGTGAGCCACATGGAGTACTAGAGTCAACATAATGTAAGCACCTGGTGTGGAATGGGGGAGTTATCAGGGCCATACTGCTTGGATTTCTTCCCTCCCCATGGGTGGACACAGAGGAACACCATTCGCCCTGTGGCGCCCAGGACAGTTCAGGAGGAGCTGCCCATTGTGCTGCTTCCTGGAATTGGAGATGCTGGCCACAGGGGAGTGGTTCAGGCATCACACCTGCCTTCTGGAAAAACAAAACATGGCTAGGTCAAAATCCAGTAATGCTTCTTGCACTGAGATGTCTGTTTATTTTGCTATGTTTCCTGATTCTGCCATGGGTGTGCTTGGAGCCATGCCCAGGAACAAGCAGGCAGTGTGGACCCTCTGGCTGCTATGAAAAAGGAGCAGATACCGTTTGTGCTGGGACAGGCCTGCCTACAGGAGGCTTCACCTGGCAAAGACTTCTGTGACACTCTGGCTGTGGTTCTACCCGCTGTCCTGGGTTTAAGGGAGTGGTGGGGATTTTGGGTAGCAGGGGACGGGGCTACAGCAGTGGTCCCCTATGAGAAGCATCTCGAAGCTCACCCTGCTCCAAGCCAGACCCACCTCTAGACCAAGGCTGAGCCAATCAGCTGCACCTCTGCAATAATGTATTTAAGAAGGGACCTGGGAGGAGGAGTTGGACTTCTGAGGAAAAGTTGTGACAGCTGCATGAACACCAAGGTCAGTGGAAGAATGGAGAAAGGGGGGAGGTGTGCCAGAGCAGAGACCTCCATGTATCCTGTGATGAGACAGCAGGGAAGCTCCCCAGCCACCCATGAAGGTCTACAGTAGATTAGACACTGATTTATGGCCTGTGAAGGGCCTCACATAGGTGACTAAGGTGACTGTGCCTGAAGGAGGCCAGGATCTTGGGAGAAAAAACAGCCCCCGCTGTTGTAGCTTGGTGCCAGGAGGATTGCAGCATGCAGGGGTGTCCCACGCTGGAACAGCTTGGGAAGGGCTCCAGTTGGAGAAAGCTGGTGTCTGTCCCATGCTGGAGCAGTGTGGGGAACGCTGGGGCCCATGAGAGGGACTTATATTTGAGAGAGTTTGTGGAGGACTGTCTCCTGTGAGAGGGGGACCACCCTGGAGTAAGGGGAACAAGTTCCAGAAGCTCCCCCCACCAAAGATGGAAGAAGTGGCAGCACTGACTGCACCCCCCATTCCCTGCCCCTGTGCTGCTGGGGGAGGAGGTAGAGATATTGGGAGCAAAGCTGAGCCTGGGAAAAAAGGGAGGAGTGGAGGAAGGTGTTTTCAAGATGTGATAATGCTTCTCACTGTCCTACTCTGTTAAGTGTTGTTAGTGCCTGTAATAAATTTATGTTCTTTTTTTCTTCCCCTAACGAGTCCGTCATTTGCCTGTGACCATAATTGGATAATTACCCCTCCCTGTCCTATCTCAAATCCCAAGGCTGGCTTATTTTCTCCTTCTCAGTGCTGGGGAGGAAGGGGGAAGTGAACGGCTATGTGGTGCTCAGTTGCCCTCTGAGCTCAGACCACTGAGCCTTTTGCTTTATTTTCTCCTTCTCGGAGCTGAGGGGGGAAAGGGGGAGTCAGTGGCTGTGTGGCGTTCCGCTGCCCCCTGAGTTCAAACCACAACAGAGCTCTGATGTGGCGGCGTCGCTGCACCTGCCCGGACCACGCGCGACCCCTGGCGGCAACGCATGGCACTGCGGACCCTCCCGCTGCGTGTATGCCGCCGCAACCAGTTACCGCGGCGGGGAGCCGCCCGCGGGCGCCGTCGCAATTGGCCACGCGGCCGAGTCACGTGGCAACGGGGCTGGTGGCAGTCAGTCTGGGCCTTGGAATGAGGGAGGGCCTTTTTGCGGAACGCCCCGCGGGCAAAAGTCAATGCGCGAGGGAGCTGAGAAACTGAGGATCCATCTCCCGCTTGAATCAGCTCCAGATCGGGGGGCGGGGCCACGCCGACGGCAGGTCGTGGAGATTGTGGGACGGCCAATGGGAGGCGGAGGGCTGGGTATAGTGCGCTCGGCGGTGAGGGGCCCGTGGGTTGTTCAGAGTCTACGGTTTGCCAGCGCTCACTGCCTTCGCTTCCTCCTTCAATCACGCACCGGCTTTTTCTCTTTGTGCTCGTCTTCTCCTGCCGCCATGCCGCACGGCCCCGTGTCTGCTCTGCTGCGGCCCGGCGGCGTCCGCTTGTCGCCGCGTCGCTGAAGGAGAAGGAAGCAACGAGGACGAGATTGATCGCCCGCTGCCTCATGCCGCGGCCCTGTCCCGCCGCCCGACTGGAGACCTGCATGGACGGGCATGGGGAGAGTTGCGTCTTCCCGTGCCGTCGGGGCTGAGCCACCATGCTTCCCATCGCTTGCCGTCCTCGGCCTGCTTGCCGCCCTGGGGCTGATGCTGGGCTCAGGTACCGAGAGGGACTGGGGCGCGGCGGGGACTGCCTCTACAGGGCAGTGCAGCCGCAGCCCCGGCCTGGCCACGGCAAGACTGGGACAGGGGCTGGGTGCTGCGCTCCGGCGACGCGGGCGCGGGCCGTTGCGGAGTTGTGAGCTGTGACTCTTGGGCGCACCCTACTCTCCCGCGTGGTCAGGGTGCGGGTAGTGCCCTGCGCAGAGCGCTCAGTCCCGTGGACCTATGTGCGGTAGAGTCGGGTGGGATGGTAGCCTACGGGCGGAAAGGCTGATGCAGCGCTGGAAGTGATGGGAGTGAAGCTGGCAGCGCCGGGCTGCGGCGGCCTGCCTGGAGGCGTGGAGAACTGCTTTTTCTTTTTGCTTCAGGTAGAGCCAGCGTTTACTGGGAGGATTGGAAACTAGAAGAAGGTGGAAAGTACCCTGCAGGCTGCAGATGCCTGCTGAAGTGGTCTGCGTTTTCAACTCAGAAGTAATCTGTGCAGTTGTAGTTCTGTGAAAATATTTCTCTCTTGCTTGAGTGCTTTCATATATTTATAGTTTTGGTGAACTAAAGTGTAGTCAAATCACTCTTCATTCACTTCTCTCTGTACCAAGAATCTGCTGAAAGCAGCAAGCAGATTTCTTAAAGTTGCAAGGAGTATGGAGGGACAGAATTATTAGACTATTTGATAACTTGACTGACTTGCTCAGCTAGACTAATTTATATGTGATTAAAATATCACAAATCATAACTGAGGGGAAATACAAGAAAAATTATGGTGCTTTGAAGGTCAGGGTCTGAACCATGTTGCCTGCATTATTTTGCTTGGTGTAGGTATTTTTTGTTTGTGTATCTGAAAACACAAAATTTCTTTTCTCTTTTTTTTTTTTTTTTTTTTTTCCTGTGCTTTTGCAAACTGCATATCACTTGCACAAAAATCAAGTAGGAAACTTACTGCTGACTCATACAATTCATGGTCACACTTGACTGTAGGTTAGAGACTTCTTCCTCCTACTCTGTGTTGTTTTGGTATTTTGACAGGAGATTTGTGTTAGCTACAGATCAGTGGCTAACCATATCACCCTTATAAATTAATGGTTTCTGTATTCCGTGTAAGTCATGGGTGTGCTGACTCACAGGAGGGTCAGCTAAGGGACAAGCAGAGAAATTACTAATATCCTCTCATTGCTGTGTGAATTGCAGAAAGCAACTGTATTAAAAAATGGGAAGTGCTACGTTACTCTTCAGTCCATTTTCCACTCTTTGTGTCTCAGGAATTTAGAAACAGCTTAATTAGGCTGTTAAAATCAGGCTGGACCCATGCCAGTTCTACTTCGAGGACACACAAAACAAGTAGGAAATGTTGTAAAGAGGGGTTTGAAGGCAGGAAAAAGAGTATCTGTTAGGTATATTGTATTTTCACTTCTTTTCACACTCCCATGTATTTTTTGTAAGCATTTTTGTGACATTCAACATCTGCTTTATGACACTTTGAAAATACAGATTAATGTATGCACAGCTGAATTTTTTAGGTCATAAAAGGTACAAATAAGCATGGCATGTTTTTAGTAGATAATTTTGAGTGCTTGGAGAACTACTGCATGAAGTCTTGCACATACTCTTTATGGAGGTCCATTTTCTGTTATGGCTGTTGCCAGCTCTTTGGATGGAAGGGAACCCAGTCTCTCCTTTCATTTGCGTCCTCCTAGTTTTAACCCCTGTGAAATGTGTGGCTCTGTTTTCTTTAGTGCAGTGTGCAATCTTGTTCATTTAATTTCTGTTCCTCATGAGTTCCTGTGTAAAAGTTACCTTCAGAAGACTGTTAACAGCCACGAGAATCTGGAAGGAGTTCAGGTCATAACAGTGAGTGCTGTGGAGGAGAGAGCTGTAAAACTCCAGTTTGCTTGCTGGGATGGTAATTATGCTTGCTTTGTGGAAATCAGGTGACCAGATAAGGTCTGACTGGTTTGTTCATGTAAACTGAACTTTGTGTCTGTTGCGTACATCTGATAAGTACTTCAGGTTTTTGTAGGGAGAGGGTTTCTTCGCCCCTTGTTTTGTTACTGAATTACACCAAGGGGTACTGCTGTTGGAACATGTGGATTCCTTAGCTGGCAACTTGCACTTCAGACAGCTGTGGCTTTTCTCACTCATTAGTCCCAGAAAGCGAGCAGTGAAGCTTTAGCTATGACAGTGACAGGGAAACAAAGCAAACTGAATTTATGGCCTACCCACTTCCCTACCACCTTTCCCCTCACCTTTCTAGAAGCAAAACTTTGATTTCTGCTTCATTCAGTTTGTTTTTGTCTAAACGTATATCACTTGCTGGCTTTACCACATCCTTCTGAGGGGCAGGATTCTATTTAAAAGTTCAGTAACTTGTGTAAAGCACTGAAAGACTAAATGGAGACTTGCTTATTGATTAAGTGATTAACTTAAGCACATAATTGCATCATCACCTTCATGTCTGGAAAGAAATGTTGGGCTTGTACTTGGCAGGAGTTAGTGCTCTTAATTTCCATCTAGACAATATCAAGCAATGGATTAAGTCACACATGGGTCATCTCAGCCTTTGAGATGGTCTGTATTGCTATCTTTCTTCCTCCCAACTCCTTTTAACTCAATTATATAGTGTGTACCTAGTAGGTAAGCACTGTGAGTTATCTTCAAGTTGCTTTGTATACAGTACTTGTGGGTGTGGAATGGGGTATTGCACTTTAAGAGGTTTGCTTAATTTCTGTCTGCCATCTGTTTTGTGCCTAGGTGACTGCCAGCTGCAAACAACTTGTCGAATCCAGAAGTGCACCACTGATTTTGTATCCTTAACTTCACATCTAAACTCGGCTCTTGAGGGCTTTGATTTGGAGTTCTGCAAGGCCCTGCGAGCATATTCTTCCTGTACCTATCGCAATTCCAAAGTATGCCGTGGAAACCTAGTCTACCATTCTGCAGTGCTCGGGATCAGTGACCTCATGAGCCAGAAAAACTGTTCCAAAGATGGACCCACATCTTCCACCAACCCTGAAGTGACCCATGATCCCTGCAATTACAGTGACTATACAGAAGCCAGAAAACATCAAGGAGGGGAGAATATTCCTTCTCCTACTTACTTATTTTGTGGCTTGTTTGGTGATCCTCATCTGAGGACTTTTAAGGATCACTTCCAGACATGCAAAGTGGAAGGTGCTTGGCCCCTCATAGATAATAATTACTTATTGGTACAAGTGACCAACGTGCCTGTGGTCCCAGAATCCAGCGCTACTGCTACAAATAAGGTATGGATTGTTCTTAAGCACTGTGCATACATACAGAAATAAAAGGTCAAGACAGTAGAGTAAGTCATTTAGCCCTTAATGGTTAAGAAATGTAGTAGCTTGAGAATCTTCTGTGTGGTAGTCATAAGAAAGTAAAACCATTAGCCTCTTCTGAGAATCAAACAAAATTTAAACCAGGTCCTTTTTCTTCCTTCTGCTATTACTAGACTTGTTTTTGTAGGACGAGCTATTGCACTTTGTGAGGCATTAAACTGTTTCCTTGTCTGTGATGTTTGTGGGACTGCTGGAGAGCTGTTACAGACATTTCAGTGCCTTTAACTCCTACCTTTGGGGGGTAAAAAAAGGAAAGGAGCGTGTATATATATTTAGCAGCATCTCGATATCTTTATAGCTGATGGGTGTCTCTTGGGGTCAGTAGAACAGAGAACAAATTAATGATTATAAGTGGCTTTTTTTTTTTTTTTTTCAGACATGGCAATGGGAGTTAAATGTTAACGTTGTGCACTTAAACAGGCTTTACTTTTCTACTTGTGTCCTGGTTTGAGCCTGGTTGGCAGCCAGCCACCACACAGCCACTCACTCCCCCTTCTTCTCTGGCAATGAGAAGGGACAGATAAGCCAGGCTTGGGGTTTAAGATAGGACTGGGAGGGGCAGATCACCCATTATGGTCACAAGCAAAGGGCAGACTCATTAGGGGAAGAAAAAAAAGAATATACATTTATTACAGACACTAACAACACTTAAAAGAGTAGGACAGTGAGAAGCATTGCCATATCTTGAGAACACCTTCTCCCCACCCCTCCCTTCTTCCCAGGCTCAGCTCTGCTCCTGATATCTCTAGCTCTTCCTCCCAGCAGCACAGGGGCAGGGAATGGGGGGTGCAGTCAGTGCTGCCACTTTCTCCATATTCCGTGGGGGGAGCTTCTGGAACTTGTTCCATCTGCTCCATCATGGTCCCCCTCTCACGGGAGACAGTCCTCCACAAACTTTCTCTGACGTGAGTCCCTCCCAAGGGCTGCAGCATTTCCTTACACTGCTCTGTTGTGGGTCACCAACTTTCTCCAACTGGAGTCCCTCCCACGGGCTGCAGCCCTTCCTGGGCAGCTCTGTCGTGGTAAGCTCCTGCATGCTACAATCCTCCCAGCGCTGAACTACAACAGTGGGGTCTATCTTTTCCCACAAGACCCCAGCCTTCTATGGGCACAGCACCTTGATCAACCAGGCAAAAAACACAGGCCATAAATCAGTGTCTGCTCCACTGTAGATCTTCATGGGTGGGGGTGGGGGGGCCGCCCTGCCGTCTCACCACAGGATACAGTGGGGTCTCTGCTCCGGCACACCTCCCCCCTCCTTTCTTCCTCTGTTCCTCCACTGACCTTGGTGTTCCCGCAGTTGCCGCAACTCCTTCTCACAAGTCTGACTCCTTCCTACCACGTCCCTTCTTAAATACATTATCGCAGAGGTGCAGATGATTGTCTTAGTTTTGGTGCGGAGATGGAGCTGACTTGGAGCTGGGGGAGCTTTGAGAAGCTTCTTACAGGGGGCCACCCCTATAGCCCCCTCCCCTGCTACCAAAAAACCCCCACCACTCACTCAAACCCAGGACAGCTTGTTGCTTTTTCATTTGTGAAAGCAGAACCTTTCTACTTGGATTGTCCACCTGAGAAGAGGAGGTGGAATATTTTAGCTATTGTTCCTGTTGATTAAGGATGCTTAACTGTGGTCAAGTTCTGGGTAGTTTTGAAATTAATGAATAGTAGATTGATCTCTAGAGTGGTTTCTGAATGCTGAACTTCTTGCTTAGCCACATTCAAGACACACTTTCCTGAGTGATCTTGGCTTTCCTTTTGAAATCATCTAATGCTGAACTGTTTTGTTTTCAGGTCGACTTCCTCTTTATTTCTCTGTTACGTATGGCCTCCACATGCCTTTCCTTCACATTTTCTCCTCTGGTGTAAAATAGGAACATATCATGCTAAAATGTCTTGTGGTGCTTCTGTACCTCAAAAGCAGACTGAAGTACAGTAGACTGAATAGGAATTACTGTATTTAGTTCTGTAACACTGCCAGTAGTTCTTGCTTCTGAGAAGTTGGCCTCAGCAGCATCACCGGGGCAGTTTCTAAATCTTCCCCAGAGAGTTTGCCCTCCCCATGCCCTCCCCACCCTCAACATGCATAGAAGAAGAAAAGTGTCTTTCGCACATACATGTCTTACTTGTGTCCTTGAGCTATGGTGACTTTAGCAACACAGAAGCATGAGCATATGGAGAAAAACATGAAATCCAGCTTTGGATGATGCCTAGTGCTGTCTGATGGACTGAGCAGTCATTAGCATTTCTAACATACCTTTCAGTTTTGTTTCATCCCAAAAGACCTGCTATGCATATATATATATATATGTGTGTGTAACTTGACATGAGGTTATTGAATCAACATTTTATAATGAGTCCTTATGATTTTCCCTTCCACCTTTTGGCATAGGCCATTTACAGTAAGTTATGAGTGATGCTTGATTTCTGAGATACTCACATGCTTCACACCTCTTGCAGGCCTCTGGAAAAGGAAGCTGTGACACTTTCAGGTGATTGGAAGGTTATTTAATGCATTCAAATTTAAAATTTCCTGTATGTATGAACTCTGAAAAGCTTTTGGATGGCATTGCAAGACCCCTTTAGAAATGTCATGTACGCTATGCAGTTATCTGCCTATGAAATTTTAATAGCTGCTTTCATAGCTCTTGTTAAATCCTTTGCAGGCTTCTTAGAGATATTTGATAGACCAGTGGTCTATTAGTATAGAACTATCTGCTGAAACATCTACCTGTGCTCCAGTTCTTGATGAAATCAGACTCATCAGGTCTGAGGTTTTCTTTAGATATCCTCCCCTGTCCTTTCCCATAAACAGAAATGGTATATAAGGAGAGCATTGGAATGTTTTCTTATGATGCTAGGCATGAGGTAGGTCATGCAGTTCTGTGTTGAAGATAAAGCTGAAAAGCATGAATAACAAGGTGTTCAGCTGAATCAGAGTGCCATCTCAGCAGCCTACCTGACCTACTGTGCTTTATGCAGACTTAGATGTGTGACTAGATAGATGCAATGTAGGATCTCCTCTGCTTCTCTGTTGCTCTCTGTTAGTAAAAAAAATCCACAGTAGCAAAATCCAGTGTCACAGGAGACATTGTAGAGACAATCTTTCAGTGTGCATATTCTACTAGTTGGGTATTCAGTTGATGAATACTTGCATAATGTACTTGTAATCAGTGTTTCTTGCCTCTCTAGCTTTCATTGTTTTGTACCTGACTAACCTTTCCAAGACATGTATTGTGGCCATCTCTGCTTGGAGTAGTAATTGGGGAGGGTGGGATGGGTCTGAATTTTAGTAGCACCTTGGGTATTCAGCAGTGTTGAGGTAAGTTCTGCATGGTGATATATGCCCTTGCCTGAAAGTACAACCCAGTCACAACAAATGTCTAGGGAGGAAAATTGACTTGGGAACTATTACAGTAAAATTGAGTAAAACTAATCAAGATCAAAATTTGTTCATAGAGTGACAGGAACCTTCTATCCTACACTTAAAAAAAACCAAAACAACAACAAAAAAAAAAAAACAAACAAAACAAAACCCCAAAAAACAAAACAAACAAACTACCAAACCAAAAGAACAACTAACAGCCTTCAGATTTTTCCAGAGTCACTGTCTGTTCAGTAAATAGTGTAATCTTCTTGCATGTGGTGCCTCATATCTGTGTGTTTTAACATCTGGATAAATTCTAATTGTTAGTCAGGTTTTGTCTGAACTCTTTACTCAGGAATTTGGCCTGTAGTAGTGGTAGAAGACTTGAATGCCTGAAATTTAATTTCTACATACAGGAGTTGGATTTGTGTCTTGTTGCGGTTGAAGGACTAGACCAGGTTAAAGTTGTTATGAGAAAAAAACTGTCTACCCTGGTATAGCCCTTGGGTTATTATCCATTATTACTTTGTCATGTAGACATCAACGAAGTTGCACCAAGATGTCCAAGGGCGATCAAAAGAGGCTTCAGGGTCTTGGGATGTCCAGTTAAGAGATCAGGAGCACAAGTAGTTTTTTACTCTATCTTTCCAGTTGCAGGAAATGATGTTGGAAGAAACAGAAAGTCAGCTGATTGATATCTGACTCAGTGACTGGTGTCAGTGGCAGAATTGTAGGTTTTTTGATCATGGGTTAGTCTAAATGATACCAGGCCTGCTGGCAACATATGAGGTACACCTTTCTCAAAGAGAGGAAAAGATCTTTGTATAATAGTTAGCAGGGCTCACTGAAAAAGCTTTAAACTAGATTTGAAGGGTGGAAAGGGATAAAATCAGGCTCATTAGTGATAAGCCTGTGGGCAGCATGCCAGTGTTTGAGGGACAGTGTGCTAGGGAGGTCTTTTAGGCTGCTCCACTGTGTGCTGAGTACAATGGAGTGCATTTGAAAAGTCTCTGTACTAATACACACAGCACCTTAGCCATCTCAGGGGAATAGGGGGTGGAGATCCACATGGCAGCAGACACAAGGTGACAGGATCAATAGCCCAACTGAAGTGTATCTATGCCTATGTGTGCATCATAGGCAACAAACAGGAGTTGGAAGCTATTGTGCAACTGGAAAAGTATGATATAATTACAATCATGGAAACATGATGGGGTGACTTGCACAACTGGAGTGCTGCAAATGGATGGCTCTAACCTCTTCGGAAGAGGTAGGAAAGGAAGAAGTGGTGGGGCAGCCCTATATATTAGGGAGTGTTTTGAGTGTCTAGAGCTTGATGATGGTGATGAAAGGGTTGAGTGTTTGTGGGTAAGAATCAGGGGAAAAGCCAATAAGGCAGATATTATGGTGGGATTCTGTTATAGACCACCCAGCCAGGATGAAGAGACAGCTAGATTATTCTATAAGCAGATGGGAGAGGTCCCATGATCGCTAGCCCCTGTTCAACTTACCAGGTGTCTGCTGGAAATACAATACAGTGGAG